AAGAGGGCAATGAGGAGTAGTTTTCAGTTAAGATGATGGTTTCACTAAGCCTGGTCAGATTTTTTGCCCATATGTCTTATTTAAATTTTTTCTAATTCAAAATGTATATAACTTGCAAAACACTATTAAATTGTTCGTGTATTCCATATCCTAGATATTAGATTTAAATTAAATGACAACCAAATACACAACTCATTCAGTTGAGTGTTGAATAACTAAATTTGTTACACAGCTAATACCCACTCACAAAATAACATGAATTAATAAAACTCATGAAATGTGGGTTGAAACTCGACCCTCTAAAACTGCATTCCCCACAGTACCTTTCTTTGTAAATGGAACCAACTTCCATTCATCCTTAATATTCTCCTCTGCTCTCTTGCTAAAGTCAACATTGCATTCCTCCTACCTCCTAAATAGCTCTTAATTGTGTGTCAGGTCCAAAGGAAACTGCAATTACCCCAACTCCAAACAGCAGACCAAATAAACAGAAATGAGCTCAATCTGAATTACAGGAGGATTTCTGGGTTAGATAAAAGCCAACATCCCTCAGGAGATTATGAAACCCATTCAGTCTACCAAAAGGAGTCATTTTCTTTACCTCTGGCAAAAGGGACATATGGCACCTGTCACCATAATCAAGGTCCATGCTAACCTCTAGGCTCCCTCAGTCCCTACTCACAAGTACTTACTACGTATTTCAAATGTCCCCACACCAGTCTCCTGATCTTTTCCTGCTCCCAGATACTCACTCTTCTTATGACCCAGCTGTTCTCATTATCCTGGGCTATTGCTACTGCCAATCTCACTATGCTGTCTGCCCCACTTGGACTTAATACTGTACTTTTCTGTTGACATTCCCACCCCAGGTACTTTTCAATGAACCATATTTGTTTAAAGATTCCAGAAATAAGTCAAAGATGTTTTTAATGCTTGGCTTTCCAAAGTCACAATGCATTAATATTATTTTATTTCATTTATTTATTTATTCATTATGTGTGTGTACATATGTACAACATGTGTGTAGAGATCAGAGGACAACTTGCAGGAGTGATTGTCTGCTTCCACCATGTGGGTCCTCAGGGTTGGTGAACATGCCTTTATCCACTAAGCCATTTTAGCAGTACAGCAATATTGTTTGCTATATTTTACTGATAATGAACAAATATTCCTTTTGAATAATCAGTGCACTCAAAAAAATTTTATTACATCGTGTGTGTGTGTGTGTGTGTGTGTGTGTGTGTGTGTGTGTTTAGCATTCATGTGGAGATAAGAAGACAGCTTGCAAGAGTGGGCTCTCTTTCTCCACCATGTAGAAGCAGAGTGAAGGGAGAGTAATCAAACTCATATTCAAACAAAAGCCCTTCCCTTCTGAGCCATCTTGCTCCTTCCCCAGAGAGAATGTTTTAAAACAATCGTTTCCAGGGTTGAGAAACAGCTTAGTTGGTAAAATACCTACTATATAAGCATTGGGACCTAAATCTGATGCTTTAAAAACCCTAGCATGGGCCAGGCCATGGTGGTGCCTTTAATCCCAGCGGGAGGGAGGTAGAGGTAGGCAGAGCTTGGTGAGTTCGAGGCCAGCCTGGTCTACAAGAGCTAGTTCCAGCTGACTCCAAAGCTACAGGGAAAACCTGTCTCAGGAAGAAAAAAATAAATAAATAAATAAATAAATAAATAAATAAATAAATAAAACCTAGCTTGGAAAGAATCAAGACCACAATGGAGATACCCACTGAAACAGCTTACCTGAGCTAATGGGAGCTCACCTACTCTAGCCTAACAGTGGGGGAAGGGGGAGGAGGAAGGGGAAGGGCAAGAACCAGCATAGGACCAAACTAGGCCCTCTGAATGTGGTGACTGTTGTATGGCTGGGGAAGACTGTGGGGCCACTGACAGAGACAGGATTTATCCCTACTGCTTGTACTTGCTTTTTGGAACCCATTCTCCTAGTTATAGGAGGGGAGGGCCTTGGTCCTGCCTTAAAGCAATGTGCTAGACTTTGTAGACTCGCCATGGGAATCCTTACCCTCTCTAAGGAGTGGATGGGGGAGGTTGACTGGGGGGTAGAGGAAGTGGGAGGAATGGAGGGAGTGAGAACTGAGATTGGTAAGAAAAATAAGAAAAAATAAATAATAATAATAATTGATCAATTAATTAAAAGAGGAACACCTAACACTTGTAACCTCAGCAGTGGGGAGGCAAATATAGGTGGTTCCGTAAGGTTCACTGACCAGCCAACCTAGCATACTTGGTGAGTTTCAGGCCAATGAGAGATACTGTCTCAAAAAACAAGTTGTCTAAGGAGTAATATTTGGATGTCCTCTGACCTACACACACACACACACACACACACACATACACACACACTAAAAGGCTCCTATATGACATCATCATCAGAATATCTTGGTTTGCACAATTATTTTTGTTTGTTTGTTTTTGTATTTGTATTTAAGACTGACTCGGTTCATTTAAGTAATGCTCTCAACTAAAATAAAACATATTTAAAAGATAAAAACAAGTCTTATTATCAAATAATAACAATTATTTTACTATCTCAAATATAGTTTTGTATAGCTATAATCCTGCTTACTAAGAATCTTCATTGCTTTCTTTATACCAAATGTTAATCAAAATACAATGAAAATGAGTGTCATTTGATAAATTTATAATTTTATTCCTTAAAATTTTATTTTAATAAATACAGTAGGTATTTGTATTATTGTATATTAAGAAACTTCTTTAATCTTATAAAACATTTTCCCTTTTTTCTCTTTACTGTCAATGAGACTAATATAGGTAGTCACTTCTTACACTCTTCAGTTTTCTCAGTCTTTATCTGACACTAAGCAGTACTGACTTCCAAACACTTGGTAAACGTGTGATTTCTAATACAAATTCATTTTTATAAAATATTTATTCTTATACATATGTGCTAAGTTCTATTTAACGACTTAATTATATTAAATTAAATAAGCAAGGCACAGAAGAAAAAATACTTCATTATCTCGTTCATATAAGGAATCAGAGAAGTAAATGGTAATTATCAGAGGTGTTGATTGCTTAAAAGAAGAGATGTTGGTGAAAAGATGCATTTTTACAGTTAGACAGGATGAATGAGTTTAAGAAATTCACTGTGCAGCATGATAGCTATAATGCCAATATATTCACTTTTTAAAAATATAGAATGGGTGTTGGGTTATCACAAAAAACAATAATTATATGAAGTAGTATATTAACTCGATTAAGCCATAGCATGTATACTGCAAAACAATATTATATGCGATAAATACATGCAATTTTATCTATCGTCTTCAAATGAATAAATAAACAAATTTATTCCCTTAAGAATTCTTTGTCTACTATAGACAAAAGACAACCATATTAAGGTATACTATGTTGAGTACATACAACACAGAAATAGCCTTAAAAGTGTTTTTTGACTAAAGAAGAAAGGCCTATGAACAGCCATATTTTAAATCATCACGTACGTCCACCTCTTCTACCAAGAAAGTGATGACTTAACATTTGTTTACATTTCTCCACCTTGGCAAAGTGCAGTTGATAAATAAGACATTATAGAAACATCTCTGAGAATTACAATAATCATCTGTTTCCTGACTTCCCAAGGTTTAGTACCACTACATTTAAACATGTAAGTCTAAGACATAATTTAATTTAGAAAATATAAGTAAATACAGATACCATTTAAACCAAATATAAATATGGCAAGAAAAGCGTGAACTAGAATTTATAGCCTGATATACAAAAATTATATTTTCATCTATGATTTTTCAACCATATTTATTTACATCTTTTTTGATATCTAAGCAGCTGAATAAAATAGCATAATTGAAGGTATAAATCTGTATTATTTATGAATTAGAAGACAAATTGATTAGAATGTCAACTCATATATTTTAATTGTAACAACACAAAACAGGACCTTCTCTTTCCCTAAAATAAACTAATTATATGAAAAGTATTTCTGTGTCTGTATTATGATATACCTAACATTAAAAATGTTAGTATGCACCTAAAAATAAAGACTTGTCACACAGGTAAGCAGTGTATATGTGCATTAACATTTATATTTGATTACTTGCTACTCCCAGTGCCTTAAATAATACGGATAATCCTTATGAGTGCTTGGTTGGACATAAATACATATTCACTATTTTCTTTCGGTACATTAGTATTTAAAAGAAGAAAAACATAAAAACAGAAAAATGTTATTCACAGAACATTGGTGATATTCTGAATTTTATAAATTCAGTCATTTCAACTTGAAAGGCCATATTTGACAGAGAAGGCACGGATATCCATATATTTTACATATACCCTTCTTTCACACCCTTTGGAGGTGAGTTTATCTTTTCTCAGTCTCGATATACCTTTCATAAAACGTAAGCATAGCTCAGCCTGGCTCAGAGGTGAAATTAAGGGCAGCAAAACCACCTCGCAAAGTTGTTTTGCTCCTACAGGCCCAGGATAAATAAGAACTAAAGCCAGCATCGTACTGGGGTGGTGAGTCCTAATAACTAGTCCACCAAGAACCAGTTACTCAGCAGACAGCTGAGGTACCAAATTCTACAGTCCTGAAATTGTAGGTTTTCAGACACAAAACTCCTCGTCAGTTGGATGGATTATGCAACGGTCATTGATAACTGGGTTTGAAATAACAGCAGTTTTAGAAGTTTGATTTACACATTTCAACCCAGTTCAGTGTTCATTGCCAGCGCTGATACTTGAAGACTCTTGTGACTCTCCCTACCCCCACTCCCCACAAGCTAAGGATTTTCCCATTCCAGCTTATGCATTCATTTCTTGGGCAATTTTTCTATTGATGAAAACAATAGACTCTTTCAATATTCCTTTATCAACAAAGGGCTCTAAGATGAAGTCCTTCTGGCCATATCCCTTCTGACTCCGCTACAATAATGCTTGGCGCTGAGAAATGTCAGACGGGGAGAGGGGGGACAGGAGACAAGACAGCTCACCTCTTTGAGCTGCTCCAGCTCCTGTTTGAGGCCGTCATACTCGGCCTCCAGCTCGTCATACTGTTGCTTGAGCGTCAGTTTCTCCTCCAGCACCACCAGCCCATACTCAGCAGCCTGGATCTTCTCGTGGGTGGTCTCTGAGAGCTCCTTGGTCAGCCTCTCTATTTCAGCCTTATAGTGGTCTACCGTTTGCAGCACCTCTTCTGCGGCCATAGCGGGGTGGCGGAGACAGATGTGAAGGCAGAAGGGGGGAAGGAAAGCAAATGGGAATGGAGGTGAAGATGCAAAGTGCCTGATGAATAGGCAGAGTGCCCCGAGGCCCGGCCGGCAGCGGCTGCTACACGGCCGGAAGCGCTGAGGAGGGATACACCATGAAGACTGCAGCGGGATGACCGCAGCGAGGATCCTCGGGGTCAGCAGCCAAGCTGCATCGTCAGGCTCTGGCTCTGCGGCCTCAGAGGCGCGTGGCCGCCATGTCTCGGGCCTCGTCACTGCGGTCCCAGCCCAGTGCTCCGCGGGAGGCTGAGCTCCACCTGCTCGCTGGGCCCTGCGGCAACCAGTGCACACGGTTGCGGACTCTAGCTGGCCGGCTCCCTCCCCGGCCACGCAGGAGGCGGGGAGGTAGGGAAGGGGAGGAGCAAACCCAAAGCCCCTGTGCGTCTCGCAGAGAGGACCGCGGAGGAGATGTGAGGGAAGAGGAACCCAGAGCTAGCTGAGGAAGGATGGGAGACTAAGGACGGATGAGGGCAGAGGAGAGGGAAACCGGCTGAGGAGAAAGGGGTGGCTTGAGGGGAAGTAGAGGCTGAGGAGGTGAAGGAGGTGCACTAGGGAGTGGGGCACAGCTGAGGAAAGGTGCTAGGCGGAGGAAGGCAGGGCAGCTGAAGAGGGACCAGTTGGGAAGGGTGGAGCCTGAGAAAGCCTGCATCAGGCTGGCTTTGCTGGGGTAGGAATTCGGAGTTCCCCGGAGTGCAGTGGGCCCAAAGAAACAAACAGAGCTTGTGCCATGGGCTCTCAGCTCTCAATACCTAAAGGAAAGGACGTGCTTTTCCGAAGCTTGATAGATTTATGTTAGGAGCCCTTCCTCCTTTGTCTCTTTCTAATTTGGTCTAATCCACCTAACACTCTGCCAAAGAACTTTACTGTCCTCTCACCTCAGTATAAACATCACTAAGGACTGCTTAACCCAGCCCAAGCTTCTGTGCACTTAGTTCAGCCCAGAAGCTTTGTCTACCACTGTAGCCTGCTGTGATGTAACACTATTTCTGGTGGGGGTGGGGATGTAAACAAATATCTACTCACCCCCAGAGGCCAAAGTAAGGCTACCCCCAAAATCCAACTTGGTGAACCAATGGATTTTATTGGAATTATATTTACAGAAATTTGGGTTACTTACAGGAGCAGAAATGACTGAAAAATAGCTACATCACCAAAGCCCACCCCAGCAGTATTGACAGCTCATAGAAGAAAACGTGGACAACACTGCACAGCTTGCAGAAAACTCAACAGGTTGAACATTGTCTCTTTCAGATACCTCGGGTGATCTGTATCTCTTCTGAACAACTAAGTCTGTCTGAACCGTCTCTCAGCCAGCTTGGGGGGGGAGGGGGTGGGGAGAGTGAATCTGGTCAGTTTCAGGAATCTCCCAAAGCCTGAGTTTAAGAGCCTCCAAGGATGCAGTGTTTTGCTTCTCTTTTCCTGTGTCTTGAGCTTCTGTTAAGATGAACTATTTTATCTGGGAGGAAATGGCAACACAGCACCTGCATGAGTTCAGCAAGCCTCTAGGCTAGCAGTTCTCAACCTGTGAGTCGCCGACCCTTTCACAGGGGTCGCTTTTCAGATATCCTCACATCAAATATTTAAATTACTATTCATTTACAGTAGAAAAATTAGTTATGAAGTAGCAGCGAAAATAATTTTATGACTTGGGCTCACCACAACATGAAGAACTGGACTAAAGGATCGCGACGTTAAGACAGTTGAGGACCAATTTTCTGGGTACTGTATTTCTTCCAGATAATCCTAGAAAGGCTTCACTATGTGGATTTTTCAGTAAAGGGAACAAATCTTTAATTTCTTTTTGTAGGTATTTAGGATATTCTACTAAGCAAAAATACACCATGTGAATAAGACAAAACGTTTTTGAAATTGTGGGTCATGCATGCTTCAAAGTGTTTTACATACATCCTAATAACTCTGGTGTAGAAAACACTATCTCCAGCTTATTGGTGCTGAAAGATGGTTGTGTCTCCAAAATCAGTGGCCCACACATTCTCTATGATTGCTGGGCTGTTTCTTAGCCATAGACACATCCTTACCACCCTCCTACGAGGAAAGTACTATATTATCCAAGGACTCAGTTTAAGTTAGGATTGGGTTTTTTTGTTTGTTTTTTCTTTTTATTTCTTCTTTTTTGTTAACATTTAATACTTGTGTGTATTTATGGAGTACAGTGTGATAAATTTATACATGCAGAATTACATTTCTTCATCTTGTTTATTTTGTCTTCTATATATCATCAAAAATTCTCTTTATTTTTCCTCTTGCTGTACAGAGACACCCTACAAACAAAATTTTATTCTTTATAGAAGCACAGTCATTTCCCATCATCCTCTCTTCTCTTCATATGCAGCGAAGTAAATAACTATTCCCTACATAGGGGTGGCAGCAGCCCTGAATGGTCCAGTGAAAACAGAATAAATGGGAAGACTTCAGTCCTGAGTCCCCAAGTCAACTATGATCATCCTCTTTGGGATCTTCTTTAGACTCAGGTGAACTCTGTGGCAGGTAATGGTTTATCCACTGGAAACTTTCTGACTATACATCCTATATTTGATGGCCACTTTTAATTAAGACATCTCATACCCAGTAAACATTGGGACAGGGGACTGTCCTGGGGTCTGCATCACCCTCCTTGCACACCTTTTAGTTAGATACGGCGTTGACACATCCCTCTTAAGGGCAAAGGACGGGCCCAGCTGCCTCAGTTACGACTTTGTGGAGGGGAGGGGATGCTGCTCTAGCCACATTGGATCCAGGCCCACAGTAAAAGTTACTTTGTTCCCATCTCAGGCAAACTCTATTTCCACATACTTTTTGAACCACTCATTCATCTCCTCCTTGGTGGAGTCAATGATGAGACCAATTCCACCCCTCAACTTCTTGCTGACTTGGTAGCACTTATTCAACATAAACCCATAATCATCACCATGATTTAGCCAAAGAAAATCTGGCTGTGATTCTAAGCATTTCAGATGCCCTTCAGTTTGCTGTTCCTTATGTTGGCCACAGAGAAGATAAAGAGGGTCTTGTATGTGTCTACATGTAGAAAATTCTTCTATCGGGTCCAGTTTCAGTGGCAAGCCTTTCTCAGCAGTTTTCAGTGAAGAAACTTTTGTCAGAATTGGATTTCTATGCCATGCTGAAGCCATGTGTTACACTGATTTATATTTAAAGATTTTTACGTATGTGGGTTTTCTGACCGCATTATGTATGTGCACTATATGTGTGCCTGGTGCCAGCAGAAGTCATAAGAAGGTGCTGAATACCCTAAAACTAGAGTTCAGGATGATGGTAAGCCAGCATGTGGGTACTAGTAACCAAACCCAGATCCTCTGCAAAAACATAAAATACTCTTAAATGCTGAACCATCTCTCTAGCCCCCATCTTTTTTTGTTTTTTTGTTTTTTTTTTTTTTTGAAGCACAATTTTGCCCAGGTTGGCCTGGAAAAGACTGTGTAGCCCAAGCTGAGGCAGTGATTACAGGCATGTACTACCACTATTGACAATTTAAAATTCTCATGCTCATTTATTTTCTCAGAAGACAATCTTCTATCTCATTGATTTTTTTCTTCTGTAGTAAACCTATAGTGGTTTGAGAGACTACAGTCCCAAAGGGACTGGCACTATTAGGAGTATGGCTTTGTTGGAGTGGGTGTGGTCTTGTTGGAGGAAGTGTGTCACTTATAGAGGTAGGCTTTGCGGTCTCATATGTGCTCAAGCCACGTCCAGTGAGACCACTTCCTGTGGCCTGCATAAGATACAGAACTCCCAGCTACCTCTCTAGCACCATGTCTGGCTACACCCTGCCATGTCCCACCATGATGATAATGGACTGAAACTCTGAGCTGTAAGCCACCCAATTAAATGTTGTCCTTTGTAAGAGTTGCCATAGTCATGGTGTTTCTTCACAATAATAGAAACTCTAAGACGGAAGTTGGCACCAGGAGTGGGGTATTGTGATAGGCCTGATCATGCTTTTGTTTGAAGGGATCTGGAACATAGGACTATGAATTAGAAAAGTAGTTGAGTGCTTTAAGTGCTGCTTAATGGGCCATACTGGTAAGAGCATGGAAGACAGTGGAGCCGAGTGTGATTTGATGAACTTGGGGCCATTGCTCAAAAAGTTACAGAAGTGAAGAATATTAATATGTAGCATAGAGACCATTCTTGTGCTATTTTGGTGATGAATGTGACTTGTCCAAAAGTCTGCCTGAGTCTAACATGAAGAGTTTTGTATTAATTCCATTGTCTGAGGACATCTCAAAACAGAAATTGGTACCAGAAACTGGGATATAGCTGTATTAGGCCTGACGATGCTTTTCATTGAAAAGAATATGGTCCTTGGGAGTGTAGATTAGAAAAGCAATGAAATGTGTTAAGTGCTGCTAAACGGGCCATACTATAGGAACATGGAAGACAGTGATGCTGAGAGTGATTTGATGAACTTAGAGTACCACCACAGAGGTTTCAGAGGAGTAGTATTTTTTTTATGTTGCCTAGAGCTCATTCTTATGATATTTTGCTGAAGGAAGTGGCTGCTTTTTTTTCCCTAGTTCGAAAAGTTTGCCTGTAGCTGAAATAAAGAATTTTGGAGGGCTGGAGAGGTGGCTCAGAGGTTAAGAGCACTGACTGCTCTTCCAGAGGTCCTGAGTTCAATTCCCAGCAACCACATGGTGGCTCACAACCATCTTTAATGAGACCTGGTGTTCTCTTCTGGCCTAAAGGCAGAACACTGCATACATAATAAATAATCTTTAAAAAAAAAATTAATTCCATTGGCCATGTTCCAACTCCAACAAGCAGCAAAACTTGGCATCTTTGGCCATGTGATTCTGGCTTTAGAGTTAAGGAGAGGAGAAACGAGTTATGGAAATTGCCTCCACGTATAAGGAATGCATATGTCAGGGATGTATTTGAATGGGGGCCTAGTAAAGAGGTCATTGAATGAAGCTGTGAAGGTAGATGACCTGTGAAGCCTGGATTGCCTTGGGGAATCCAAGATGTTAAAGATACCAGAGTGGGAAAACTACCAAGGAAAGCTGCTAACTGGGAGTGGAACCAGCCCAAAAGAAAGAAGTATATTGCAGTCAACAAAGCTGAACAAAGTTTAGAGTTTGCCCAGCTGGTTTTTAGGTCTTGCTTTGGTCCAGTATTTTCTTTTTAAGTTCCTGTCCCTCACTTTTGGAATGGTAATGTATATCCTGTGCCATTATGTTGGAAGTTTGTGATTTGCTTTTGCTTTTGCTTTTATAGGGCACAGTTAAGAGATTGCCATGAGTCTCAGAAGAGACTTTGAACTTCAGGTTTTTAAACAACTTTGAGACTGTTAGAGACTATAAGACTTTTGAAGTTGGACTAAATGTGTTTTGTATTATGATATAGCTATGAGCCTATGAGGACCAGGGAGTGGGATGTGGTAGCTTGAATGAAAATGGCCCCATAGGGACTACCAACATTGGGAGGTGTGGCCTTGTTAGAGTAGATGTGTTGCTGGAGGAAGTGTGTCACCAAAAATTAGCATTTGTCAGTTTTACTTTTGTTTTTGTTTTTTTTTAACAGGAG